TTATAGAAAACAGTATGAAGGTTCCTCAAAAAACTAAGAATTGATCTACCATATGATCCAGCAATCCCTCTACTGGGTATTTACCCCAAAGACTTGAAAACCCATATCCGAAAAGATATTTGCACAATGATGTTCATAGCAGCATTATTCACAGTGGTCAGGACATGGAAGCAACTGAAGTGTCCTACGATAGATGATTGGCTAAGGAAGCTGTGGTACACATATACAATGGAATATTGTTTAGCCATAAGAAGAGATGAAATACTGCAATTTGCGACAACCTGGATGGACCTCGAGATAATCATCCTAAGTGAAATAAGCCAGACAGAAAAAAGTTGAAAATCACATGATATCACTTATATGTGGGATATAAACCTAAAAGCAACAAAGGAACAGGACAAATAAACAGAGACTCATGGACATGGACTATAGATTAGTGGTTACCATAAGGTAGGGAATTGGGGAGGAGGAGGGAGGTAGACGAGGTAAAGGGGGTCAAACATAGGGGAGTAAGGGGAGGGTGAAGTGGATAAAGGGGATCAAATATATGGTAACTGAAGGAACCTGGACTTTGGGTGGTAAACACAGAATAGAATGTATAGATGTCAAATGATAACGTACAACTGAAAATTATATAATTGTATTAACCAATGTTACCCCAATAAACTTAATTTTTAAAAGTTTTTTTTTTTAAAAAGCACTCTTAGATGAGAGTCTGAAAATATAAGTCCTGGTATCGATTTCATTAACTTTGGGCTTTGGTGACATTGTATGAGAGTCAAGAAGTCAAAGTTGATTCCTAGGTTTATAAACTGGTATCTTGGGTGTTGCTTTTAACCTTTACAAGAAATTCAAGAGAAATACTTGAATAATTTACATTTACAACATGCTGGTTACTCAATAAATTCTTTAGCTCTGTGCTACTACAATTCCAGAGCTGCACACTTCCCCACAATCCCTTTAGAGTCTACTGCGCAGAGTTCATGGACTTGAAGTTCGCGGCTTGTCACCCAGAGCCTGTCAGCATTTATTGTACAATATTGCAGTTATATATTTACATGTCTGTCTCCCTTACTAGAATTTGAGCTCCTTGATGATAGAGATTGTCTTAGTTATTTCTGTATCGTCAGAATTTAACAATGTCTGACTTGAACTTGGAGGTCAATATACTTTTTAAAAAATTTGTCCCCAACAGGTAGATAGATGATAGCACACTATACTCAGCTTTTTATGGAAAAAGAGATACATAGCTAATAGAAAGGTATACATGAATATTGTTCCATGCTATTAAATATTCTACATTTTAATAGCTGCTAAAAATTTTCCATTATATGGTTATATCATAGTTTATTTAACTATTACTTCGTTGTTAGGTATTGGTTAATAGTCAGGTATTGGTTTCCAATTCTTTGCTATTTTAAATTGTGCTACAGTGAGCCTAAATGTGGCTCAGCTTTAGGGTACATCCATAGTTATTGGACATAGATAAAATTTTTAGAAGTTAAAATGCTGAATTTGGGGTAATGTCTGTTTAAAGGTTTTTGATGTATTATTCCAAGTAAGTTGTACCAATTTGTATTGTCACCACTGATTCACTAGGATACCCATTTTTCTGTACTCCTTCTACTACTACTTATAGCATCATCACTACCACCATCATTATCATTCCCTGCTAAAGTTTATAGGTAAAAATGCTATTTCCCTAGTTTTGTTGCATTCCTCTGGTTACTTATGAGGTTGAGTATTTTAAAAATGTTTGTAAACCGTTTATATTTCATTTTCAAAGTTACTTATTTGTATCTTTTTACCATTCCTTTCCAAGATATTTTTCTTTTACTGCCCCAATTGTTTTTCTAGGAGAATAAGAGGTGTACTATAGAAACGTTTATGAAAGTACATTGTTTCTTTTGACATAATTTAATATCATCTAATAATATTTATATGTATAACTTAAAAATAATTATAGTAGCAAGCAATATTTGACTTTAATGACCAAATCGCTTATATTTGTAACTTTCTATGAAAGTCTTTTAATCTGTACTTAAAATATTTGCAAGTAGGCTAAGGTAAAGAAAATTGTTATCCCTTAAAGTGAATGGGGCTGGCTGGAAGCAATTTTACCAGAATCTTTTTTTTTGGTGGAGTGCAGAGGCAGTCATTTTTAAGAAATCTTTAAAAAATTTACAAGGTGTTAATTGGTTAAGTCAACATCTTAACCAATGGCTGTTTAACTAAAGCTATAGAGCTGTGCAAACATCACACAATCCATTTTTAGGACATTTCATTACCCTAGAAAGTTCTTTCTTGCCTGTTTGTGGGTAATTGCCATTTCTACTTCAAATGCCATGCAGCTACTTCCTGTATTTATAGAGAGTTTATATAAATGGAATCATCTGATGTGTGGCATTTTGTGTCTGGCTTCATGTTTTCAAGGTTCATCTATGTTGTTTATTTCAGTATTTTATTCCTTTTTATTGCTGTGTAGCATTTCAGAGTATAGACTGGACCACATTTTGCTCATCCATTTATCAGTTGGTTGACATTTGTGTTTTATTTTCCAAAACAGTTTTAGCTCTTAGATTCAGGTCAATAATCAACCTTGAGTTGATTTTTATACATAGTTAGAAGTAAGGCTTCAACTTCATTTACAAGTAGATATCTAGTTTTCCCCACACCATTTGTTGAAAAAGACTATGCTTTCCTCCACTGAATTGCCTGGCACCTTGTCAAAAATAAATTGACCATAAATATAAGGTTTTTGTTTCTGGACTTTCTTTCTTTCTGTCCCATTGATCTCTATGGCTATCCCATGCCAATACCACACTGTCTTGATTACTGTAGCTTTGTAGTAAGTTTTAAAATGGAGTAGTGTAATTATTACAACTTATTCTTCTTTTTCAAGATTGTTTTGGCTGTTCTGGGTCCTTTACCTTTCCATGTAAATTTTAAAGCTTGTCTATTTCTACAAAAATAGCCTGCTGGAATTTTCATAGAGATTACATTGAATTTGTAGATCAATTTGTGGAGAATTGCCACCTCAACACTATTGAGTCTTTCGATCTGTGAACATGGCATATCTCTCCATGTATTTAGATTTTTAGTTTCTGTTAGCAATGTTTTGTACTTTTCAGTGTACGGGTCTTATACTTAATTTGGTAGGTTTATTCCTAAGTGTTTAAATTCTTTTTGATACTATCGTGAATAGACTTTTTTTCTTAATTTAATTTTCATATTGTTCAATACCATTATTTTCAATAATGTCAAAATGTATATGACATTTCCCCCAAAATGTTGACTGTTTAGTAGCATTTTACTTCTAATATGATATATAATTTAATAGGCCTGCAGGAACAAATCACTGATGCGTATCATGGGACTGGAACTCTGGGCAGTTAATTGCCTAGGTGCAATTTTGCCCTTAAAGAATGAAACTCCTAAAAACTTTAATGTTAATACAGAAATAGTCCTGGGAAGTCAATTTGAAGACATGACAAAATGTTTATAGTAAGGCTCTCTTAATAATGCTGACTTGCATTTCTTGACATTTTATTGATTCTTAATTGTTTTATAAATGTACTGCTTTGCATTTAGTATGTATCAATCAGCAAATTAAGTAGATTGTGCTTTTGTTGATTTTTCTGGCCTCAAGTTAATGGTTTGTTGTAGTGCTCATTTGTGCTTCTGTCACATTGAAAAATGTTATTTGGGCAGGGGATACTGCACCCTGCAGTTAGTTATTACAACAAAAAGGAGATGTGTTTTGCCAGGCTCAATGTATACTGTTTTTCTAGCTTTTCAGGAGACAAGTTATTTAAATCACTTGTTCGTAAGGTGTGATCTTGCAGTGCCTATATGTCATAAGATAAGATGCGGTATTACACTTTAGAAACTGAAAAATATTGGGGCCTTTCCACAGGTGGAAGAAAATTAAAGTGTATTATTTCATAGTTTTAGTTTTTCCCTCATAGTTTTTCGTAAATCTTTGGCACAATTTATTGCTTATCAAGTAGTGAGCATTAATGAACACTAGAACGAATGATCGAGTTTATTTGTGCATGTTGATTAAAAACACTCAGATTATCATGCTTACCTCAACAACTTATTTTTACTACAGAAAGTTACTCTTCTATATGTTAAAATTAATGGTACTTTGTGTTGCTCTACCTTCGAGCAAATTTAAGGACCACCAAGTTAAATAAATCATTAGAAAGGAGCAGAAATGTGGATATACTCATCGTACTAATTTGCTGATAGGCCAGCAAAGATCCACCAAAATCTGTACCCTCAATTTAATGACCACCCTCCATGGTGCTTTTAGGCTGTAATGTGTAAAAGGCAATTGACCCTTCTCTTCAACAAAACATAAATGTCAGATAGACCGCTATTTGCCTGAAAGCTGAGGAGAGCATATGAAGAACAGTTGTGTCCACTGTTTTCATAGTTTCCTAACAGATAGATAAATACTTTATTTCTTCTGTATTTTATAATACTTAAAACTGTAAAAATCAATATAAAAAGTTTTCTAAATCATATTTTGAAGGGAGAATGTAAGTTATTATGTTCTTGGGATTGTTTGACCTCAGATTAATGATGCATGACTTTTTCCCCCTATAGGCATGCTGCAAAGGAAGATAGAAGAGGTAACACAGGTTTTCAAGGATCTTCATTGCAAGGAGCAGGAACACAATATGAGCATTGCTTTTGATTGAATGACTGTATCTTCAGCATGTTGTTTTGGGGGTATATGTTACCTGCAAATTTCGATGATGTTAAATATGGTAGTTACAATTGTTATTTACTCTTTGGTTGCAATTAAGTGTGCATGTATTTAGGGTTTTTATTTCATTTAAATATTGTGCTGTTGGGAACTATGCTGTAGTTTGACTCAGTATTAGCAAATCAAAACTATATTAGCCCTTTTGTCTAGGCAGCACCTATTAGATGTTGACTCTGTATTTATAATCTGTATCTTACTCTCCTGGATCCCATAGCCTACCACCAGCATACATCATCATCTTTCTCACTCCGACAAGACCATAGACACATACTCGCCAAAATATAAATGCCAACTAGGCTTTGCTGGTTGCACGTTACATAATAGTGCTAGATACTGTAAATCTCTCTCTTAAAAGGAACTTGCTATCTAGTTTGAGATGTAATTAATGAATGCATGCCTGTATAAAAACAATGTCAACAATACAAAGAACTATGATATGAATTACTGAAAGTGTGCTATAGAAAGAAATTCAGAGACAGAAGGAAAAGTTGAGTTAGGTTTGAGACTTGAATTAAGTTATTTTTAAAAGGACAAGCTTCAAGCAATTTGTTTTTCGTTTTTTTGTTTTTTGTTTTTTGATGTACAGTTGTCCTGGTGTTTTACTTGATTTCAGCATATGGTTTATAGTTGTTTGTTTTTCTATATTTATGTTTTTCAAGAAAAAGCTATATTCTTACCTTGATCTCTTATTTCATGTTTCACTTAAGTCATAAATAAAGGTGATGTTCTAAAAAATAAAAGCATAACACCAAAATAAACTACTTGAATGTTTCTTAGTAATTAGTGCTTAGTTGCCCAGAATTATTGGGCTGAATTTCTCTGGTACTGGCTGCATATGACCACCCTGAGGGTTACATATTAAGGGAAGAAAATATATTTTTTGAAATGAGTATTAGTAATTTTCATAACCTTATGAGCGAACTAAATATCAGAACTTACAGGCCTCTTTTTTTCCTACCCAAACTTCTCAAAGTAGCAGCTTCTTATCAGGTAAGTTTTTGTTACCACTCAAAATTATAGAATATGAAAATAATCCAGAGACTATTTAATTTTATGGATGATTTCTGTAGATAAACAGCTTTTGAGTATAATCTTGAGTGATCTTTATTTTTTATTCCAATATTATTATTATACCCTAGAAGACATTTTCTCTATAGTTTTTAGAGCTCCAACTCCTGTAGTCTATGCATAAGTTAAGTTCCACATTCAGTAAATATATTGGAGGAAACACTGGATTTCATCCTGTCCCTGCTTAATTAACTAAACGATTTCATTTGGGCATTATCTTTGGCCTATTCATGAAAGGGTCGGATCATATTAAGGTTTTCCCAACTGAAAGAAATGAGTTTTCATTTCTCTGAAGTTTTAGGATTCCTTGATGTCCTTTCACTACCAGTAGGTGTTTACTGTAAAGTTCCTTTACTATAAAGTAAAATAAAGAAGAGGCTACAGTACTCATTGACTTCGTACTGGGAGTGTTCTAGTGTTTTTTCCAGAACATAGAAGAGGTGAGGGGATGGCAAGGGGCTTCCAGATCAATATAGCAACACTCAAAATGTACTGGTATATCTCAATGTACTGTCTGGAATCGGGAGCCTTGGACTAAATCTTCTCTAAGGTTCCTTCTGACTCTGGTTCAGCATGACATTGTTGAATAAATATTAATTAAAAGATGAGAAGTAACCTATTTTTGCCAATAATTTTAAGGCAACATTTATATTAGGTACTGGAATCTTGAGCCCCCCATAACCATGGTTGAAGTCCAGCTAAGATATTAGCTGAAGGAGAATTCTGAAATTTGTCACGTGGCACTTTCCCCGTGCTTATCTACTTTTTTTTGTTTTTTGTCCTTTGAAAAAGATGCAATATTTATTCTCTATAACAGCATTTATGCTATCTCATTTGGGAGCATATGAAAGACATGTACAATTGTTTAGACTTAATTAGACAAGTGATGCTATCCCTATTCAAGAGAAAATTTTCGTTTTAACATCTTCCATATCTGGAAATTATAATTACTTCGTAATATGTTAATCAGAAGTATGCTGTAAACTAAGTGCCTAAAAAAGACAAACTCTGAAAATATGTCTATGTTAAAGAAGAGCTTCTGGCTTAATTAAACTAACCTTGTTAAATTGTCAGAAAGACAAATGAGGCATGTTTTTTCAGTTTGTCATAAAATCTTCTAGGGGTGAAATTGTGAGATTACCTCATGATAATATCTCTGTGTAGAAATCTCAAAGCTTTTTATATACTGTCTGATATCCTTTTAAAGCAGGGAAAAGGATGCCGTGGGAAACAGAATAGCTATTATTTCACAGTTAATAAGTTTGGCAGAGCTAGAAATAGCCTGGTTTTCTAATGTAATGTTCCAAATGTTTGTCCCTGGGTACCTACCACTAGGGCTGACTACAGTCATACGCAGGTACATAGAGTACCTCCTTATGACCTTGCTTTCCAGTTGCAATTTAAACCTATGTGAGTGTGTCTTTTCAGCCTTTTATTCTCCACTCATCCCACCTAGTGGATTTGTAATGTAGTGTGTACCACTTCAGTACCAATAGGCTGTATATTTTATTACAAGTAGTATACAAGTCTGGTGTGATGCTCAGTGTAGTTTTTGCCACCTTCCCAGGGGACAGACACCAGCAACCTTGGTGTAGTTTTCCATTTCCTTATGACCAATGTGTCAATTGGACATTTTGGTTGAGCGGCAGAATTCAGCCCCACCACTATATAGGATTTGCTTGGTGCGGGCTATGATATGGCCCACACTAAAACTTCCCATGAGATTTTCAATCTGTTAAAAGTTCTCAGCATAGGAAGTACAATGTCTTCCAGTAGCTGCTCTTTGATTTTATCCTTTAACTTGAGCATGGCAATACAGCCAGTTTGAATAAGTCTGAACCTACTGGATAACTTTGGAATATTTGCTCATAGATGACCACCCTATTAAGTGATTTTAAAACCATACTTTTGTATAATTACTTTACAGTCACCCTATTCCAAGATATTATCCCCATTTTATGGATAAGGAAACTGGCCTAGACCAGTTAAAGAAACTTACTGAAACTCACATAGTCTTGTAACTTGCCAAAGCAAAAGTTCAAGTCCAGATTAACTACTATGCTATATTGTCTATTACTGTGGGAATTGAGAAATCCAAACATGGTGACCCCCAAACCCATGATCTTTTTCTTCTTTGGCTTTTTTTTATAATCTAAAAAGAGTTTCTTTTAATTTTTTTTAAATGGCTAAATATAATCACGTAGTTCAAAATTTAAAGGGTACAAAGATACACAGTGAAGAGTTTTTCCCACCCTTGTCCCTCACCATCCAGTTCCCCTCCCTGGAGGCACTCACTTACCACTTGTCTGTATGATTTTTCCAGAGGTATTTTATGCGTATAGAAGCAAACACATACACATAATTTCCCCCTTTTTTACTCAAATGGAAGCATACTACATACATAGATCTGTATGTTGCTATCGCACTAAATATATTTTAGAGATTTTCCAGTAGCAGTCCCTAAAGAATTTTGTCATTTTTGGGACTGCTGCATAGTTTTCTATTGAACGAATATCACATTCATGGATATTTAAGTGGTTTACAGTATTTTATTGTTATAAATAACATTGTAGTGAATATACACATGCACATACGTAATACATACATACTTGAGGGTGCATAGTATTGAGGATACCATTCATACATGTTGAACTGCTGTGCTGAAGGGAATGTGAATTTATGATTTCAGCTGTATCCTCAGGTTGCCTTCCATATAGGTACCAATTTACGAGAGTGCCTATTTTCTCACAATCTCAACAAAACAAGTGTGTTCTCAAACTTTGGACTTCTACCAATCTGGTAGGTGAAAATGTTATTTTAGTGTGCTTTTAAAAATAAGCTAATTTTTAGAATATTTTTAGATTCACTGAAAAGTTGCATAGTAGAATTCCTTATATCTCCACTCAGTTTCCCTAAGTGTTAACATCATAATATAACTGGTATATTTGTCACAGCTAATCAACCTTATTATTAACCTAAGTGTGTAGTTTATTCATATTTCCTTAGTTTTTACCTAGGGCCCTTTTTCTGTTCCAGGATACATTACAGTTCGTCATCGCTACGTCTTATTTGGTTCCTTTGACTATGACAGATTCTTAGACTTTCCATGTTTTTGATGACCTGGCCAGTTTTGAGTACAGGTTAAGTGTTTTACAGTCAGTGTACTTTGAAATTTCAACATTTCTCATGAGATTAAACCTCTTTCTTTTCATATACTTAAGGACATTTGTATTTCCATTTCTGGAAATTAAGAGTCCATGCTGTTGTTAATCGCTATGTTGTACCTCTCTCGATTCACCATAATTATCAATAACACGTTCACAGGCTTGAATACATATGGATTTCTGATTCTCCGGAAGTAAATGTAAGCCTCTGTTACAGATAGAGGAGAACCATTAGTGCAAGTGATGTCGTCAAACTCGTGTCTGATCATTCTGGCTACACTACGGAGGATGGACCAGAGGCTGGAAACAGCAGATAGCAACGTAAGTAAGTCCTTGAAAGAAGCAACAGGACTGATGGGGACACGTTCGAGGGAAATTGGAGGCGCCAGGATGTGGTGATACTGGATGAGAGAGTCAAGAAGTCAAAGGTGACTTCTAGGTTTATGAGCTGGATATTTTGGGTGTTGCCTTTAACCTCTACAAGACGTTCAGGAGAATTATTTGAAAAATTGACAACACACCGGATTCTCAATACGTATTTTCTCTTTCCGTTTTTTAGAGCTGCGCTACTACAATTCCCAGAATCCCGCACTCCACCACAATCCCCTGAGTCTGCCGCGCAGAGTCCTGGGACTTGAAGTCCACGGCTTATTTACACAAGTTGGAGAGAGGGGCCTGCGGAAACATGAAGAGGTAAGGACTTGTCTGAGAGCAGGCAGCGAAGGGAGCTCTGTTTTACCTTTTAACTTTTAATATGGCTTTTATTACTTTGTGTCGGGGTCTGTCACGTTCTCGGGATGCGGTTTCGTGAAAGTGGGAAGACAAAAGAAGAGGTTGAAGGGGGGATGGGCGAGACTGGCCTGCGGGGCGAAGTTCAGGAAGGGCTGCCGCCACCGCCACCGATTTCCGTAGGAATGCCCTTCCAGCCCAGGCATCTAGGTCGCGGCGCCGACCCAGGGAGCTTGACAGACGCCGTGGCTTCGTCCCGTTTCAGACGGACCCACCCAGGTAAAAAGGTCTTGGCCGACCGATGCCCAGCGCTAGAGGAACCCAGACCAGATCCTCCCGGTCCCCCTTACCTCCACCCTCTGCTCGGAAAGGGGCTCAGGGTGAGCGCCTTTATTTGCAGTGTTTTTGGATTAAAGAAGACTTGCTCGTGCCCCGAGAGCAAGTAGCGCTTTCGAATCTTAGTAAGCGAATGATACTTTGTTTCTACAAATTTAGAAGGCAAATACCAAACCTATTCGATATATCATGGGAAGGAGCAGCAGTGCTGCGAGCAGTTCCCCCTACTGGTTCGGCAGGAAATGGCAGCTTAAACTTAGCTGGACCCTGTTGAAAGCCAGAGCTTCCTAATTACTGACAGTACACAAAGCCTTTTGAAATGGTCCTCATTAAATTAGTTTTGTATTCACTCTGCATGTAGAATAATCGCTCTGGAATAGAGTGGTGTATTTAAAATTCTTGCTAATACTATGCTAACCTGCGCCGTCAGCTTCTGCATCTTTAAAAAAACTTTATGATTTTCCCTGCCTCAAAATTGACTTTTAAAACCTGTTTCTTATGATACAGCTCATACATGAAAAATAATGTATACATACAATTTAAAGAACAATAATAGACTCGTATCCACTACAAGCTTTAGAACTGGAACATTACCAGTACGTTAGAAGTCGCCAGTGTGCCCCTCCCCGATTGCTTCTCCTCCCTCCCTTCCCGCCTACGGGATCACTGTCCAGAATTTTGTGCTAATCGTTCTCTTGCTTTTTTAAGAAATAGTTTGACCACTTAGGAATATATCCCTAAACAAAATGTTGCTCGTTTTATCCATTTTTCAACTTTTGGACACATACTGTATGAATTTTTCTGTGACTTGCTTTTTTCACTAAACATTTCTTTTTGAGATTCACGTATACTGATGTATTCAGCTATGGTTTATTCATTTCAAAGCCTCTTTAAACTTAGCAAGAACTTTCAAAATTCTAAATAAAAAATAAAAATTAAGATGCTTAAAAGGGATTTTGTTTTTAAACCCTGGGCCTAAAGATATTTTAAAATTTTCCAAAATATGTTTAAGTCTTTGTAGAGCATGAGAATCTTGCTTGTAATTATGGGGGATACTTGTCTTAGGTTCCAGTAGTTAAGGGTCGTTTGTTAAGGAAGGTATTTTAATATTTATCTTCCTCATGGAGTTAGCTTGGTTTTTTTGTGTTTGTTTTTTATAAGCAGTCGTTGCCTACTTAAATGGTCCTGCTATTTTTTTTACACTAATAAGAGTTTTCAATTATTTAGGGTTAGTTAGCTCATGATAGCATTAGCTAGATTTCTACACAGTAGTGCCTAGGCTATAAAATATTATGACCCTTTTCACATTTGTTTCTATGCTCTCTCCTTTGGAGATCTTTTCCACAGCTACAGATCCTGACAATACAGATAACTTGAAATTTCCACGTTCAGCTTCAGACTCTCATCTATGCAACAGTTCTCCCATCTCTCACTTTTCTTTTAGCCAATATCACTTATACAGCCACTTCAGACTTAATATATCTTTGAAGTATTCCTGGTACTTTATGCTAGCGTTTCAGTTGGAATAGGTGGTTGACTCAACGTGGCTAAAACAATGACATGCCCTTTCCCAAACCATTTATTTCATCCAGAGCTTCCTCTTTCCTTCATTGGTATCAACATTCTCTCACTTTCACAGCTTGAAATTTGGGGGTTTATCTTTGACCCTTGTCCCTACCTTCAAAAGGCCTTACCCATCTTACTCTTCCTTTCTGTTTCCACTATTATCACTCCAGTTTGGACTTTCATCACCTTATGTTTGATAAATTTAAAGAGTTTTCCAACTAGTTCTTCTGGTTTCTTTCCTACTAATCCATGAGACATAACCACATTCGTTTTCCTAAATCACCACTTGCAATGCGTCACTTTAACTATCTAATAAATTACTTTGTAATACCTATACATTCAGGTCTAGGCCCCGTAGTTGGTATATTTAAGGCCTTCAGAATCTGAGTCTAATTACCCCTCCAAGATTATCTCTCAATCTTCCCATACATGAATGCCAGCTAAATTGAACTTCTCATTATCCCCTAGAACATCTCATACTTGCTCTCCCTGTTCTTTCCTTCATCACACCCAATACTTCAAATGCCAGTTTAACAGTTACTTTTCTAAAGTCTTCATTTACCACCCTAGCTCCCAATTATCTCTCTCTTCTGTGAACTCCTACGAATTCGGCATGTGCCTCTCTATATTGTTTTTCTCTTCATTTCCTCTCCCCCCCCACCTCC